TAGAGAACATCTAGCCCACAAAGCCTACAATATTTTCTCTATCTTGTCTTTTACAGAAAAAGTTTGCCACCCCCTGAGTTAAGGAGTTAAATAACTAATAGCTATATAGGTAATTTTACTTGGATCCATAATCAATGCTTATGGAAGCAGCAGTTGAGAAATTGAATGATATATTGCATTAGGCAAATCTGTTGCAAAGATCTCTTTAAAGTGTTCAAGAGCAAAGATTTGAGGACTAAGGTGAGCTTGATCCAAACCTTTGTATTTTCAATAGCCTCATATGCAAACAAAAGCTAGACAACAAATAAGGAAGATCATAGAAGAATTGATGTATGTGGATTATGGTGTTGGCAAAGAATATTGAAAGTATCATGGACTATAAAAAAACAAACACATCTGTTTTGGAAGTGCAGCCAAAATGCTTCTTGGAAACCAGAATGGCTAGACTTCATCTCATATAACTTCAAACATGTTATCAGGAGGGACCAGTCCCTGGAAAAGGACATCATGTACGGCAAAGTAGCAAAGGCCACGGGGGTTGGGGGGGGTGAGGAAGCTTCCCCCATGAGATGGGCTGACACAGTGGTTACAACAATGGTGACAGACATGGCAATGGTAAGGTTGACACAGAAGAGAGCAGTCTTTCTTTCTGCTGTGTGTAGGGTCACGATGGATAGGAATCAGCTCTCTAACAGCAGCACAACATTTAAGAAGAGGACTTAGAACAGTGCTTGGAACACTGGAAACACTCAACAAAAGTTGGAAGTTGATTCTGATTCTCATCCATCTGTTTGACCTCACTTACTCCACATGGAGCACTGATGGACAGATGTTTTTCCCTTTATAAGAAGAGTGTTAAGTGACTTGCACAAGGTCACACTAAAAAAGTGGTAGAGATAGAACTTGAACTCTGATCTTGTGCTCCAAAGTCATCATATTTCTCAGTCTTAGTTTAGTAAACCCTCCTGTCTTGAACATGCTTCTGGTGGATTTCCTAGTTATTTGAAAGGCTCACTGTTTTCCTAATATACCACTAGGTTGATAATTCATGTACAAAAAAGACCAGACTTGTTGGTTAGGTAGAAACTAGTGGAACCCAGACACTGTGGCCTTTAGTCACCCTTCAGGTCTAGAATTGAACTCACCCCCTGACTCAATTTTCTGCCAAACATTCGTTGTTGTTGTTAAGTGTCATTGAGTTGGTTCCGACCCATAGCGACCCTGTATAGGGTTTCCGAGGAGCGACTGGTGAGTTTAAACCGTCCACCTTGAAGTTCAAACTGACTTTGCAGTCCAGCGCGTTAGCCCACAGCGCCACACCAGGACTCCAACAATAGACAAGTGTATAAGGGGGACAATGACGCTAGTGAGAGCCACACTCCTGAGAATAAGCAACCATCTGAGACCAAAAGGGCAACATTTATCCAAGGACAAAGTTCAGATGAGTTAAGAAAGAAGGAAGACGAAAACAAGAAGGAAAGACGTGGGAGGAGTGGAGCTACATCGAGGGACTGGGATCGATGAGATGAAACAAACTGTGCATGATTTATTGGACGTAAAACTGATGGTCTGCTATGTAAGTCCTCACCCAATTCACAATAAAAATTCCAAAGAAAACAAAAAGCATGCATTCGATTCTCCCTTCCTAATTTGACTTAGTCATTCCAACTGAAAAAGCTTTTAAGCAAAAGGCAAATGTGACAAAGTCAGGGTTCATACTGCGAATCCAACATGGAATACCTCCTACCTGGGGCCACAGGCAGCAACTGGTCAGCATTCTCTGTAGGGAGAGAATTTGTTGACTATTAGAACAAGAAACAGTTAAGAGCCGTATCCCACCAGCAGGGAAGGCTTGCTGTTATTCGTAAGTGCCATTAAGTCAGTTCTATCTCATAGCGACGCTGTATAGGGTTTCTGAGGAGTGGCTAGTGGGTTTGAACTGCTGACCTTGTGATTAGCAGTCCAGTGCTTATCTTACAATGTCACACCAATACAGTGTGAAAACCCACTTCCATGGAGTCTATTCCAACTCAGTGACCCTGAACAGGGTTTCTGATGCTGTAAATTTTTACCAAAGTAGACAATTTCATCCTTCTCTCTCAGGGCAGATGAGGTTTGAACTGCCGATCTTGTGGCTAGCAGTCCAGTGCTTATCCTACAGAACCGCTAGGGTGTAAAGCTATAAAAATAACTCACCAATGTTTTTCCATAAGCATGGTGGCAGGAAAGATGTTTTAAGAAGAAATTCCAATGCAAAAATGAAAATATCAACACTGGGGCATAACCCTCATGACTGAAATGAATATAAAGCTATTTCTTAAGAAAGGAAGAAAGTGGTCCGACAGCATTTTCAACCTAACAGTAGGGTTTTATCTGAACAGCCCAGGAATGCAGAAATGGGAAATAATGTTTGGTCATCTGATCCCTCTTACTAACTGATTCAATTTCTCCCTCTATTATCTACCTATTACCTGCCTGGTAGCTCACAGAATGAAAAATGTCAGGTTGATATCACAGAAGTGTGAACTTACCCAACATGGTCTTTAAATGCTCAGTCTCTGTGAACATGTGGGAAAAGCAAAGATCTTTTTAAAAATGGTCATTGTTTCTAAAGATGCCTCCACTAAAAATGACTTTTGAAATGAAAGAATCTGATTCCTTCCCCAAATCAAAATGCTGACCCTCCCTGCCTTAGACTTGAATGAATCATCAGATGTGTCAACATCAGCACCGTGTGGCTAGTAACGCATGAGCGATCCAGTGCGGCAGTGCTATTTTAGTGCGCAAACTCTGTGACAGTCCCTCCTAGAGGGGGCAGACACCCCTTACACCAGCGGCACACCTAGGTGGAGCCCAATGGCTTTGCGGAAAAAGCTGCTTTGATGGAACGCTCAACCGAAACCCAAGCTAAAACACACAAAACAAAACAAAATGAAAGAGGAAAATCAAAAAAAAAAGTGAAGCAAGCCCAAACACATACACATACAGTATTTGATTTGATGGAAAAAACCAGATTATGTCAGTGTTGTATAGATACAGACTTTCCCATTTAAAACAACTGGAGATTTTCACAATCAAATGTACTTCTCTAGACCCACTCATGATTTCTATTTTTCTCACTGACACCCAAATTATTGTCTTCAGCATTGGTAGTATTGGTCACATGTAGTGGTAGGAATTCATTTGTAAGTCCAGGCTAGCGATTCTCAGCTAAGAATGATGTCTGCCCCCAAGGTGATATTTGGCAATCCCAGGAGATATTTTTGGCTATCACGCCTGCAGGGTAAGGTGGTTGGCAGAGGTGTCCTATTGGCATGCAGACGACAGAGACCAGGGATGCTATTAAACATCCGCCATGCATAGGGTGTTGTTACGTGCCATCGAGTTGATTCCGACCCATAGTGACCCTGTATAGGGTTTCCAAGGAGCAGCTGGTGAGCTTGAATCACCGACTCTGTGGTTCAAAGCAACTTTGCAGTCTGACACATTAACCCACAGCACCACGCCAGGACTCCATGCATAGGTTAGCCTCCTACAAAAACGAGTTATCCATTCGCAAATGCCCGTGAGAGGAGCTCTGGTGACCCAGTGGTTAAAGCATTCGGCTACTAACCAATAGATTGGCAGTTCAAACTCACCAGGAAGATGTGGCTGTCTACTCCAGGAAAGGTTTTAGCCTTGTGGGGCAGTTCGACTCTGTTCTATGTTGTTGTTGTTGTTGTTATGTGCCGTGGAGTCAGTTCTGACTCATAGTGACCCTGTACAGGGTTTCCAAGGCTGTAACTCTTTATGGAAGTAGAAAGCCTCATCTTTCTCCTGCAGAAGAGCTGGTCATTTTGAACTGCTGACCTTGTGGTTCACAGCCCAATTCGTAACCACTACGCTACCAGAACTCCATACTAGGATGTTAAGAAGGAGCTTTTCTGGTGTTCTATAGGGCCACTAAAAATCAGAGCCAACTCAAAGGCAGTGGCTTAGGAAAATGCCCCTAGTACTGAGGTTAAGAAATCCTGTTCTAGACTGATTGTTGTTGTTGTTAAGTGCTTCGAGTCAGTTCTGACTTATAGCCACCCTGGGTTTCCAAGGAGCGGCTGGTGGGTTTGATCTTGAGGTCCAGCACATTACCCTGCAGCACTACACCAGGCTGATCATCGTAATTATTATTTGGCCAAGGAGTTGTGATTAGCAAACCTGACTTGAACTCACAATCCACAGGACAAAGTGCAGTACTATTCTGATTTATGGAATCCTGGTGTGGTGCTGCAGGTTAATGCACTGGGCTGCAAGTTTGGTGGTTCAAGCTCACCAGCCGCTCCTTGGAAACCCTATACAGGGTCACTATGAGTCAGAACCGACTCGATAGTAACTGACAACAAAAAAACTTCATCTTTACATTCACCACCATATCATGCTATTGCTGCTGTGTGCCATAAAGTTGGTTCCGACCCATAATGATCCTGGACAGGGTTTCCAAGGCTGTAAATCTTTACGGGAGCCGACAGCCTCAGCTTTTCCCCTCGGAGCGGCTGAGGGATTTGACCTGCTCATCTTGTGGTTAGCAGCCCAACATGTAACCCACTACACTACCAGAACAGTATCACAAGGAAGGTTAACGTGTACTTGGTGGGTGCTGAAGGCCTTTTTCACCAGTTCTTATGGAATCGAATCCTTGTAGTGGAAAGCCCATTTCTCGCACTATATTGCCTTTTGTATAAAACCCATTTCAACATCTTGTGGTTAGTGAATTCTTGAGCTCAAGTTGAAGCTCTCAAATTACCAATGTTTCTTTGCTTTAGGCTCCTACGAGAGGTCAGAGGTGGTCTGTGATTACACAGATCCTCTGCTAATGGGATTAGTGGAGATGCTATCCAGACAATGCCATGTCTGCACTTGGAGGAGGAGGCAGACCTTACCGGCACAGACTACGCTGGCGTCTTCTCTGGGACCACAGTTATGGAGAGTCCAATCTGCATGAGGGCACTGTCCCAGAAAACTCTCACTTCCGGTGCAATCCACATCATCCAGCAGAAACTTGCCTGAGCCTTCACCGAACTGGGCTTCAATAGGGGCTTCGAGGGCAGGCCCACAGCCCAACTGCCTACATACCACATCAGCTTCATTCAGGTCCCAATGGTCGTCACAAACCCTGCCCCACTGGCCGTGATAGAAAACTTCCACACGCCCGGAGCATCGGCTGGACCCGTTCACCAGTTGTAATTGTGGCCAGTCTTTCGAAGACACAGAAATATTGCGTGTTAGGGAATGACCATACTCCATATCAACTCATTTTTTAGTCATTCAGCAAATGCTTACTGAGCACATACTACATCACAGTAGACAGCACTGTGGATCCACAGGATGGGCCTGGTTGGGGCCATCATGGAGTCCACAGTCTCATTTGAAGAAAATGGAGGAAACAGTCATGTTAACTCAAACAGGAGTACAGATTTACAAGCACTATGCATCAGAAGATGAGAAGTGCATAGCAACTTAATAGTGTATAATTTGAGAGAAGAGTCAAGGACATCCTCTCTTAAGAAAGCGATGACGAATCTGAGGCATGGAACAAAGATTGTTGTTGTTGTTGAGTGTCGTTGAGTCAGTTCCAACTCATAGCGACCCTGTATAGGGTTTTCATAAAGCAACTGGTGGTTCTGAGCAGCCGACCTTTGGTTAAGTCAAGTCGACAAAGAGGGATGAGAAAGAGGGGAAGGTTTCCAGTCAGAGGAGAAAATCATGTACTAAGGCCCTGTGGCAGCAGAGGACAAGGCTCTTTTGAAGATTGAAAGAAAACCAGCGTGGTTGGAGTACAGGAGAAAAGAGCCACCAGATATTGCTGGGGAGGTAAGCAGGGGTCTTTTGTTCATCCACTTTGAGAGTGAAAGGGATTGCCAATCATAAGCACACAGGTGGTATCATAGTTTTACACAAATAACATTCATGTAGTATCCTTTTTTTTTTAACCAACCTTCCTTCCTCTCCCTGCTCCCCACCCAACTATGGTCCTGTGTTTTACAGCAACATGTTAAAAACTAGCATTGCGTGCTCATAACAACACTTAGGGCCAGAGGGGTAGGAAGGGCTCAGTTGACAAAAAACTTATGACATGTGCTTTATTTGCAGAAAAATATAGTAATCATTCTCTTATTTCTTGTTCCTCATTTCCCCAAAAGAGAAACTCCATTTCACCTACAAGCCCATTATAGTGAAATTTAAAGGAAGAAGGACTAGTTATAAAGTTTTGTTTAACTGTTGTTGTTGTTGTTAAGTGCTGTTGAGTTTGTTCTCAACAGCATAACGATCCTGTATAAAGTTTCCATCGTATAAAGTTTCCAAGGAGTGGTTGGTGAGTTTGAACCACCGACCTTGTGGTTCAACGTGACCTTGTGGTCTAGTGCTTTATCCCACAGTGCCACACCAGGACTCCCTGTCTAAACTGTATTTGCTAACTGTATTTGCTTCCCAATTAAATGTTAAGTTCCTTGTGACTAAGAACCATTTGCTTGTATAGCTTCTAGGATACTCTATAGGTTCCTGGATAATGCAAGTGGTTTGGGCTTGGCTAACCTAAAGATTGGAAGTACAAATGCACCAGGCAGAAAGACCTGGTGATCTGCTTCTGGAAAAATGGCAGCCAAAAGAAAACCCCATGGAGAAGTAACACATGGGGTCACCAAGAATCAGAATCAACTTGATGACAATGGATTTGGATTGGTTTTGGTTCCAAAATCCTAATACAGGCTTGTTCACTTTTTCATTGATTGGCTCTTCTGTGAACTCAAACGTCCTAAACGTGTCATCAGGAAAGATGAAGAACCTCGAAATGTGAAATGGCCAAAAGTGAGTGGCTAGGACCTAGGACTCTGACAGTTACAGTATGGGGCAGTGTGAAGTAAATATCAAATGTATTATTGGAAATGTTGCAGTCCTTTTTCATTGGTGTGAGCAGCATCCCTCTTCTGGCTCAGGGGACAACGTCACACCTCCCCCAGGTCTAGTCCCTTCCCCTCCCATCACTGCTCTTGTGTTGTTGACATTGTTGGTTCTCTTGAGCCAATTCCAATTCATGGTGTCCCTCTGTGTGCAGAGTAGAACTGTCCCATAGGGTTTTGAGGTTGTGGCCTTTCAGAAGCACATTGCCAGGTCTGTCTTCCAAGGTGCCTCTGGGTGGGCTCAAACCACCAACCTTTCAGCTAGCAGTCAAATGCTTAGCCATTTGTACTACCCAGGGAGTCTTGTCTCCAGGGCTGTTGTTGTTGTTAAGTGCTGTCGAGTTGGTTCCGACCCATAGCAATCCTGTACAGGGTTTCCAAGGGGCAACTGGTGAGCTTGAACCACCAACCTTGTAGTTCAAATGGCTTTGCAGTCTGGCGCATTAATCCACAGTGCCACACCAGGATTCCTCTACTCCTAAATTTAGCATTGGCAGGGCACCACCTTATCTAAGGAATTTCAAGACTTCTCTGTCCTTCTGACTTGAAAAGATTTAATACAGCAAGCATTTTGGAGAACCTATAAAAAACTCTGGTGTGGAGTCCTGGTGGGGCGCTGTGGGATAATGCACTGGACTGCAAGGTCTATTTGAACCAAAAGGTCAGCGGTTCAAATTCACCAGTTGCTCCTTGGTGAATTTGAACAATCACAGGGTTGGTACGAGTCAGATCTGACTCGGAGGCACTTAACAACAACAGCATATAAAACCCTGGTGTTAAGTGATATGAAGAATTTAAAAACAGAGAGAAAGAAAAAATTCCTCACGCTCTCTTGGCAGTCAGAATACTTTAGCCTGACACTCATACTCTGGACTGGCCCAGAAAACATGAACTCAAACTCTTCCCATTTCGCTTCTCAAAATGGCGTGTGGTCCATCTCCAACGGTATTTCTTCAGGAAGCTTTTTCTGATCCTTCAACAGACATTTCTCCTGCCTCTGAGCTTCCATTACATTTAATTAAAATTCCTCATTGAGCACTCATCATATTGTTCCATTGTTTAGTTATTGGTACAGTTTATACTTTTCCCATAAAACAATAAGGCCTTTACATTGTAGGCCTAACAGTGCCTAATAATCTAACATGCAGGAGCAAATGTGAACTGCTGTTGACAGACAGAGCATGATCTTTTTGATGGCTCTCAATGTGTTGAGGAAAAAAACAAGATTTATGAGTGAGATGAATACATAGCATTTCCAGGTGGAATCTTTTTTGTGTGGGGGGGGGGCGGGGGGAGAAGTGTTTGTATGGCTGGTGATCTATCTATCCACCCCTTAAAAGCACATGACCCATGAAACCACATCAAAGTTGGAGTTAGAGAATGCTGACTTACCACCAGGAAATGGTGTCAGCATTTCAGCATCTAAGAGCAGAGAGAAATAAAGGAGGGGTCATTCACTGCTGTGCAAGATAATCTGTCCAAGTTTACAAAGGAGGGCGCCCCATGTAGGTGATAACTTCAGAAAGTAGAAGCTGAGCCAAGGACATTCTTTGGGGACTATGAGAGGGCTTCAAAAAATTCATGGAAAAATTAGATTATCTTCTAATTCTATTTTTCCATGAACATTTTGAAGCTCTCTTGTCTACCTAAGGAGCCCCAATAGTGTAGTGGATTATGAGCTGGACTACTAACCTCAAGGTCAACAGTTTGAATCTACCAGTCACTCTGAGGGAGAAAGATGAGGCTTTCTGCTCCTGTGAAAATTTACAGCCTCAGAAACTCATCCAGGGTCATCATGAGCCAGAATTGACTCCACGGCACACACACACACACACACACACACATGCCACACTTGTCTATCTGGTACCTTCTTTCTGATCAATGGCAAGTGAGAAATTTGATCGTGTAATGCGTAAATCCAGAGCCTTTCCCAAATGATTCTTTTAACTTGGATTGTTTGTGTGGACAAACATAGCTACTACCAGAAAGGTAGGAAACTGAACCGGCCAAGTACTAATAAAAGTGGGTTTCCTGGTGTGGCACTGTGGTCTAATGCGTCAGACTGCAGAGCTGTTTGAACTGCAAGGTCAGTGGTTCAAGCTCACCAGCTGCTCCTTGGAAACGCTATACAAGGTAGCTATGGGTCGGAATCGACTCAATGGCACTTAACAACAACAACATAGCATTTAGGAGTCCTGGTGTGGTGCTGTGGGTTAATGTGCTGGACTGCACTACCGGTTTGAACCACAAGGTCAGCGATTCATGCTCATCAGCTGCTCCTTGGAAATCCTATAAAGGGTCGCTATGAGTCAGAAGCAACTACATGGCACTTAACAACAACAAATGGCATTTATGGAGTCTTGGTGCGGCTCTGTGGTATAAGGCACTAGACCATAAGGTCGGTGTGAACCGCAACGTCAGCAGTTCAAATTCATCAGCTGCTTCTCAGAAACCCTATACAGGGTGCCTGTGAGTCAGAACCTACTCAATGGCAGTTAACAACACCATAGTCTTTATAGGGGTCCTGGGGTAGTGCTGCAGAATAAAGCACTGGGTCACAAGGTCGGAAGTTCAAACTCACCTGCTGCTCCTTGAAAACCCTATACTGACTTGGCAGCACTTAACAACAATAGCGTTTATGAAGAGTCTTCAAAGAAATGGGGCTGGGGAAGGACTGAGACTTTACAAGACAAGGTAAGGTGTGTCTTTCTTCATTAATCTTGAATTTACTAAACACGAGTGGAGCAGTGCAGCACCCTAAGATCACACACCCCATCAACAGAGGCACTATCGCTATGTCTGAAGTTCATATTTTCTTTAGTTCAACTCCATCTCTCAGTGCCCATTTATTAAATCATATTCATGTCTTCACTGCATATGTTTCTCAAATTCATGTGGCCACCAACAGAGCAGATTGAGGAGCAATGTTTTCTGTGTGGTTAAAGGCAGATATTAACCAAGTGGCTTGTTTTCCTGTCCTTGGTTTACTCTTTGGGTTTGCATATTGTTTTCTTCTCCTCCCCCAGCCCCTGCAATGAGTTAACATTGGCCAACATAAGCAGAGATTTGGGGGTATTTGTGGATGATTAGTTAAAACTTACTACACTGTGATTTTTACTTACCCAAAGGTCCTGGTGTTCCATTTCCGTTTTCTATGAGAAAGAAAAGAAAGATGAATGTAACTTGAGTTTATTGTTGTTGTTGTTAAGTGCTGTCGAGTCAGTTCTGACTCACAGCGACCCTGTATAGGGTTTTCTAAGAGTGGCTGTTGGGTTTGAACTGCTAATCTTGTGAATAGTAGTCAGGACTCCAGAGTCTATTGTTGTTGTGGTTAAGTGCCATTGAGTGGTTCTGACTTATAGTGACTCTGTATAGGGTTTCTGAGGAACAACTGGGGGGTTTAAACTGCCAACTATGTGCTTCAAATTCCAGTGCTGAACCTACAGCACCATGATGAAGAGTCTGGAATTCCCTGCACTTGTTTGAAGGGTCAGCTGTTGCCCAGCTACTGAAACTCCAGGGGAAAAGCTCAGTCAAATTGTTCTTGTTGTTAAGTGCTATTGAGTTGGTTCCTACTCAGAGAGACCCTGTATAGGGTTTCTGAGAAGTTGCTGGTGGATTTGAACTTCCAACCTTGTGGTTCACAGTCCAGTGCCTATCCTACAGCACCACACCAGATTATTCCAGAATGTTCTAAGGGATTTCTATGTTAGAAGGAACACTTTGGACTCTTCAATATGAGCTGAACTATAAATATCTTAGTCTCAATTCCATGAACTGAGACTGTCACCTGTCCATTCAACTAGGGTTGATTTTCTTTGTTGCTCCACCTGAGAGTGGGGCAGCTTCCAAACGGACCAATTTCTCAGAGGTCAAATATTTAAAACATTGTTTTTACATTAAGGTAAATATGATTTTATTATTCCTTGGAAGTAAAAATCCATATGATATTTTAAGATAAAAGTATTTCAAAGAGCATCTCAGCTTAGGGAAGGCAATCGTGGGCAATGCTGTCAGGGTATTTGAGAAACAATGGAACTGAGTGAATTACTGTCATTCAGATTTGTCAGTTGCTCATTTGCTTGTTTCTCAGCATGGGTTAAGGAAGACAGGAAGAGCTCTTAAGGAACTGGGCCATTGGAGGTGTGAGTTGTGGGAAGGGGGTTCTGGAAGCTCCTGCTTAAATAAACTGGGGTTCTCTGCCTATGGGGATTGGGTGAGGGGTTGGGAAGTAGTTAAGAATGTTGCAGTTACTTGCAGAACATCAGTGACAACTCTGAACATTTAAAATCTGGAATACATTCAGGGTGTAGGCACGCTTGATTTGTGGGATAGGACACTGGATACAGAGCCCAGAGACTTGAATATTTGCTGTGTGACTTTGGTCAATTCACTGAACCTCTCTGAACCCCAGTTTCCTTACTTGAAAAATGGGGATCCTAAAGCAAACCTGTTTTAAATTGCTGCAAGAATGTACATAAATAGAATGGGAAGATGGACAGAAAGTGGTTGGCAAACTATAGTTGTTATAGGACCTGATGCCGTAAGCTTCGAGGCCCATCCTAAATTCGGCACACCTTGATTCTTGACATGCTAATGTAACAATAAGTATCCAATAAATCTCTGAAAAATGGCATATTTGAAAGAAATGAGATTCTTCTTCTGTTGTACCACCTCCGTTTCCCATCCACCAATTGACAGAGGGGGCAATCAGATCAAAGTATCAGAAAATACACTGAAACACTACAGTAAGATTAGCTAACGCTTGGGAAAGGAGCCATTGACACTGTTGGCTTTGTCATGAAGGCAATCAACTATGAATTAATTATTAGTTTATAAGTAATTGCTGAAATTAACGAATTCAACTATTAAAGGCTTGATTCTAGAGCAGGGCTCTCAGCTGCAGAATTACTGACATTTGGGCTGGAAAATTCTTTGTTGGGAGGGTTTCCCTGTGCATTATAGGATGTTGAACAACATCCCTGGTCTCTGTCCATTAGATGACCATAGCTCCCTCAGATAGGACAACCAAAATTTGGCGATTAAGCACCACTCCATCAATCAGGGAGTCCTGTTATTTCTGAGGTATCTAGATACATTCATAAGTCACTCCCCTGGGTCAGGGACATTTTGTCCACTTCTGGGAGTTCCTGGTGCAAATAGTTAAGTGCTGGATGACTAACTGAAGGGTTTGTTGTTCAGACCCTGGTGATCTGCGCCTGAAAGGTCGCAACCTTGAAAGCCCTGTGGAGTACAGTTCTACTCTGCACACATGGGCTTGCCTTGAGTTGGAATCAACTTGATGGCAACTGGTTTGGTCTCATTTGGTTTGGTTTAGTCTGGTTTGGGGTCTACAAAGCCATCCTCAACCAATGTTTGTTTAAGGAACTGAATGCTTGCTCTTGGCCCCTTTGTGATAACAACATTATCGTGTGGGCCTCTGAGGAGCAAGGAGTCAGGCGCTTCCTCTTCTTGTGACTTCTTGACTCTCCCACTTTGACCCATTGTCCAAAATCGGTTTATCAGAAAGATGTCTGCTTTTGTCTCTAGGAGGACAGATTTCCTCAAAAAACAAACATCAAGTATAGCATCATTGGCAGTCTGCTTTTACAGCTCTGAAATGCCTGGGGAATGGATGTGAATGATGGAGGTAGCTCATTCCCACAGCAGTGCTGTGAGGAAGGGCCAACAGGCATCGTCAGTACTATTGGAGAACAGGAAGGCCCTCGATGAGATGAGTTGCGAGAGTGGGCTCAAAAACAACAACAGTGTTAGGAGGGGGCAGGGCCAGGCCTCAGTTTATCCATGGCACCTGACAACAGGAATTATTACTGGTACGGTTATTAATATTACAATCCCCATTTTGCTAGCTGAAGGCTAAGTGATGTGCAGAAAGTCACATGGACGGGAGGAGGGTCAAGGGGTATCAACAAGAGAACAGGCTGTCAGCTTGCCCAGCATCAGATCTGTGCAGTCAGATAAGACACTGAGCTCAGGAGGGCTTGACGCTCTGCTGTTGCCATGTTGGTGCTGTTGGATAACCGCAGGTCAGCAGTTCAAACTCACCAGCCTCTCCTCATAAACCCTGCACAGAGTCGCGATGAGTCAGAACCAACTCAATGGCACTTAACAACAACATATGTGTGTGTGTGTGCATATTTAACAAGGGAACTAACTCATGTTTGTATTTTGTACAGGGACCTGCCAGCTAGGTAGCTGGTTCTATGGCTGGATAGTCTTTTTGTTTCAGATATCAAATCTCTTCCAATATTGCTACCTTGGGCTTCTCAAATAGACATGAGAGGATTGAGGTTATATTTCAAGAGTTTTCTGCTTCATAAATATCATGGAAGAGAAGGTTTTGATTTGAGTGTATTTCTTAAGGAAGCAAGAATAGCTGAGTCCCCAAGAAGACAGGGGTTCTTACCCATCAAACGACCTGTTATAAAGACATTCTCTCATGTCTAGGAGAAAGGAAAAGACTCAAGGAACAATTGGGAAAAGACGAAGAAAAGCTTTCAGAAAAGACAGAAATAAATTTACCCGAGCAGATGACGCCAGCGTCTTCCCCGTGCCAGCAGTTGTGGGCGAACCAATCGGCGTGGGCACACTGCCCCAGGGAGGCCTCTGTCCCGGAGCACTGCACGTTGTCCAGAAGAATGGGGCCCGAGCCCTGGCCAAACTGGGCCTCTCCGGGGGCAGACACGGCCGTCCCACAGCCCAGCTGCTGGCACACCACCTGCGCTTCATTCTCTCCCCACAGGTCGTCACACACCGTGCCCCACGTGCCTTCAAAATACACCTCCACACGGCCAGAACACCTTCCAGAACCTTCCACGAGCTGCACAGCAAGCCAGTCTTTGGGAGAAAGGCAGCCCCCCGCCCAGTCCCCACCAAAGTGGTGTATTGTATTCTGTGTGAGTCAGAATGGGCACAACACCATCTAACAGCAACAGCAGCTTACATACATGTTCCCCTGTCTTCTTGCTTTCTTACCACCTCCCAGTAACCACCTCCCAACATTGGCCCTTGACCTGTTCATCCTCCAAGTCTCTGAGCAGGTTCTATTCTTGAAGAAGAGCCATCTACCAATTAAATTAGAATGTCCGGGTCTGGCCCAGGATTTTGTATGTGCCAACAAGAGACTTTTAGGTGTTCTCAAAATCTAAGAACACCTGAGATACTCTTAAGCCAGTTTCTGATGTGTGTGGCTGTTGTTGTTGTTGTTAAGTGCTGTCAAGTCGAATCCAACCCACAGCGACCCTATATATAGGGTTTCTAAGGAGCAGCTGGTGAGTTTGAACTGCTGACCTTGCAGTTCAAACGGTCTTGCAGTCTAGCGCATTAACCCACAGCGCCACAATTCAAGCCTAGCTCATAGAAACCATGTAGGACACAGTAGAACTGCCCCATAGGGTTTCCTAGAATGTAATCTTTATAGGGGCAGATTTCCGGGTCTTTCTCCAGAACACTGGTGGGTGGGTTTGTAGTGCCCACCTTTCGGTTAATAGCCAAGTGCTTAATCATTGTGCCATCGGGCCTCCTTCTCTAATGTGTAAGAACCATGAAATTAAACCAAACATTTGAGGGTACCTGTCTTGGAAAGCAGAAATAAAAACAGAGTGGCCCTGTTTTGCTGGGGAGTGGAGCTTCCATACCTAGGGGTCTTGCTAGCTCCGTGAGGTGGACCCCAAAACTGCTGCTGTCTGCATCTTCCCTGCAGGCCTGCCCTCCTGCAGGTCAGACTTTTTCCAGCAGACACCCACCTTCCCACTGCTCCATGGGTTGGTCCTGGATGCTGCTTCTTTTAGGTCGTCCCTTCCATCGTGCACTAGGGTCTCTCCTGTAACAAACTGAGACACAGCAGTAGTGTCAGAACCCTGAGTCCAGAGCAAGATCGGGACAGCAGGGAACCAGCGAGCAGCTTCACAGTGCCCACGCCTATTCACAGTGCAAGCAGAAGGGGGCCTGGGAACCTGCATGTTAATAACCCACATGTTTCTGCCGCACAGCCAAGTTCAGGAACCCCTGCTCTAGAATCATTTTTCCTTACGCTTTTGTTGCAGAATGTAGTAGATCTTAAACTCTTCCTTTTAATCAGATATACGTTTGTATCAGTTATTTCAAGTTTTTGTTAGCCATTGGCCAAGTGGCAGCATCAATGGGCTCAAGCGTGGCAACAGTAGTGAGGTTGGCCCAGGATAGGGCAGTGTTTCGTTCTGCTGTGCATAAGGTCGCTATGGGTCAGTACCGACTCGATGGCACCTAACAACATATTCTCATGTAAGGAGCTCTGGTAGCTTAGTTGTTACGAGTCGGGCTGCTAACCTCAAGGTCAGCAGTTCAAAACTACCAGCCGTTCCACGGGAGACAGATGAGGCTTTCTGCTCCCTTAAAGATTTACAGCCTCAGAAACCCTATGCCTGGTCCCTATGAGTCAGAGCCAACTCCACGGCACACCACCACCATATTCTCATGTAGGAGTCCTGGTGTGGCACTGTGGGTTAATCCCCTGAACTACAAAGTCGGTTTGAACTGCAAGGTTGGCGGTTCAAGCTCAGCAGTCACTCCTCGGAAACCCTATACATGGTCACTATGGGTCAGAATCGACTCGATGGCATTTAACAACAACATATTCTCATGTCCCTCTTCAGCTACCTGTAGTTCATAGTGATATGTTTTTACTTAATTAAGCAGTTTACAGTTTACATATCATAGTGATATGTTTTTACTTAATTAAGCAACAGTTTACACATGCATTCAGCTTGCTGTTGAGTTTGGTCTATCTTTTCTATTCCCTCCTGGGTATGTATTTTTTTCCCCACCGGGAAAGTTGTCTTCTTTGACCAAGCATACAGCTTTGGGTAGAGAGTGCTCAGGGAGGAGGGGACACTTGCCCAGCCAGGCAGACCTGGCGATCAATGGGTGACAGATGTCACAGGTGTGCTTCCCTGATGGAGCCTCTCAACAGCTCTCAAAGATGAATAAGATACCCTCCCTACTTCCAGGGGATGTCCGACTCCCTTAGTGAGGGACATAGACATGGAAACAAAGACTGCTATTTACTGTGAAAATGCTGTCATTTCCCCATGTGTAGGAGGAAAAGGAAGGCACAGAGCGAAAGGCTTTCCGGTACAGGTGACCTTCATGTGGTCTGCACTGGGCTAACTAGAACAATGGCATTTCTGCCAGGTGGCTGCATGTGGCAGAAATGCAGGGCAGTGAAGCCACGTAGCACGTGAGATAGAGCCAGAATTCAAGCAGGAACACAGAAGACCACATACAGCTGACTTCAGGGCTGGGAGGCCAGCGGCCAGGCCATGCGGGACCATATCCATGACACGTGGGTCCTAGCTTCTCAGGGAGCCCGAGGTAGGCAGGGAGGGGCAGAGGCTGTGAAAGTCCAGGGTAACCATTGGAGGACACCTCTCATGGTAAGTCCATCTCAAGATGCACTGACTAGGGAAGGGGCTGGACAGAGAAGCCAGTCTGGAGGCTGTCGGGACTGTCTAAGAACATCTCGGGAGCTAATTGAAGGCTGGGACTGGGATGAGAAGAGTGTATGCAGTGACATGAGGGGGTGAGCTCTGCAATCCTGGCTGAGTGTCACCAGGCTACAAGGCTTCTAGGGGTGTTGCTACCCACGGTGTCCTGTAAGACAGCTCCCTGAGCAGTTCTGTCTTCACCATCTTGGCTGTGGAAAGCTAACCATTTGTGCCAAGCTACTGCGGAGTCCTGGGCAGTATAAATGCTGAATGCATTCCACTGCTCACCCAAAGGCTGGCAATTTCAGTCTACCTAGTGGAGCTCTGGTAGCGTAGTGGTTACGAATCGGGCTGCGAACCTCAAGGTCAGCAGTTCAAAACTACCAGTTGTTCCGTGGGAGAAAGATGAGGCTTTCTGCTCCTGTAAAGATTTATAGCCCCAGAAACCCTGTACAGGGTCGCTATTAGTCGGAACCGACTCCGCGGCACATAACCGCCACCTCCACCACCAGTGGTGCTTTGGAACAAAGGCTTGGGGATCTACTTCCGAAAAACAAGCTATTGAAAACCCTTTGGAGTACATTCTACTCTGACACATGTGGGATTGTCATGACAAAATCGACTCAAAAGAAATTGGTTTATGGCAGAATCGGCAACTGTTAGTGAAGCATCCAGTTTGCTGGTGTCGCTAAACCCCACGTTGATGCATGACATAGTCTATTGCAAGCTTGCCCCTTCTCTACAGTCATTTCTGGGTCTAAGTGGATAAACTGCTAAGACATTGCAGACTGTTGTTCTGAGTATGACATCAACGCTGTCCCCTAGCGCTTAGAAACTCTTTGCTGCAGTCACTCAGATGGATAACCCAAGTGCCAAGCTTCTGTGGTGCTGCCACCCCAGGACTTGAGTCATTCTCTGGCACTACTGTTGCCACACATGACTGATGGGCATGGAGGAGTCATACCAGCAAGCTCCAGGCTGGCAGAGCCTCCAGAAGAGGATGATGCTGCCAGACGAAGCATGTCAAAAGCTTGCTGTTCATCCTTGTAAAGTGTGCTTTATTTGTCCCTTGCTCAACGTCACAACACAAGAGAGGGCATTTGTATGTGTGAGTGGTAGGAGGAGGGTCATCTTGCCCTGATAACTCAACATCATGCTTTTCAGATACTTTCCCTAAAGGTATAGAATGGGTTGGAAGTACAAAGAAGCAGAATATGGAGATCTAAATAGAAAACACGGCTTGGGACAGATTGTTGTGGTCTCTGGATCCCAGGTGAAGAGTCTTGGATTGAATTTATAGGCTACAGGAAAGTGTGGGAGGTTTTTTGAAGGAAGGAGTAAGATCGTAGGGTTTTTGAACAGAGAAGTAATTAGAAAGATCAAGCCAACATTGCAATCAGACTGGAGCCAACAAAGGTGGGAGAGACAAAAGGTGGGAGATTTCTTATGAGAGGAGGGAATACTGCCCTAAGCCAGCTGTGACAATGGGAGGAGAAGAGAGAGAAGGGTGTGAAAGACATCTGGGGACAGAATTACTGGGGCTGGCCAATTAATATGATATAGAGGAAGAGGTGAGCTGGAGGGGCGCAAACAAAGCATTCAAGGCCCAGGGCAAGACCAGGAAAGCCAGGAGAAGGTCATGCTGGGCTTCATGGTGGGGGCCAGCAGGCAGGCAGCAGAACCTGTGGGTCTGAAGGTCAGAAGTGTTGTCAAGGGTAGAGATGGTGATTTGGAAGGATCAGATATTGGGTCAGTTCCAACTCATAGCGACCCTATGCACAACAAAATGAAACACTGTCATCTCCACAGCCATAGTGTTTGCGGAGTAGTTGTTAGTGTGAATTAAGGAAACCAGAGTAAGGGAACCATTCAAGAATTGAGCAAAGACAATAGTTTTCCTGTGGGTTTGAACCACTGACCTTGCAGTCCAGTTCTTATCCAATAGCACCACACCAGGGCTCCCAAGAAATCTGTGGTCCATAACAATTTGAAATTCCGTTCTGCATTTTGCCCCTTTCATCGGGATTCCTCTATGTTATTGTTAGGTGCCATTGAGTCGACACCAACTCATAACAACCTTATGCATTATGCACAGCAGAATGAAACAATGTCCGATCCTGGGCCAACCTCACTACTGTTGCCACACTTGAGTCCATCGATGCTGCCACCTGGCCAATCCATCTCGTTGGAGGTCTTCCTCTATGGAACCCCTGAAGCCCTTACCCTGAGATACTGAGATAACCTTTAAACATTAAACCAAAAGTCTTCCCTGAAGTCTGCTTAAAACCAAGCAATAGTTTAGCTATTTTTTAAATCTGCCTGGAGCATTATGCTCTTTTACTATCTATACGGGAGCAAAGTGACAATGGCAGCTTAGAAGATTAGGAAGGAATTTAGCAGGCAGTGAATTCATGTCCATGTAGTAGGAACAGCTCTGAAACAGAGGTGAGAATACTTGCACAAGTTGAAAAGCGTCATCAGCGTTACTGAATTGTGTGTGTAAACACAGTTGGATTGGTGTGTGTTCTGCTGTGTCTATTCTAATAACAACAAAATACATTTGGAAAAATGAAAAGAAAGAATCATTTTCAAATTATTCAAATTAAATAAAATAGAAAAGAATATAGCAAGGAGGTAACTGATAGCTTAGTGAGGGAGGGGACTAGGATGGTTAGGTCTGCCTTGGGGAGGGGATCGAGGAGGAAGGGATGGATGGGACAAGTTGGTGCTGAGTGTGAGTGTGTGCGTGGAGAGGAGCAGCCGGCTCTAAGTGTTGGCTGTCTGGCACACAGAGGAAGGTGGTGGTGGGATCTGCAAAATTTGTGAGAGGAGCTGAGGGGGACAACAGGGAAGCTGTGAGGACCCAGTGGAAACTAGACACCATGAATTCCCTTCCTGAAGACAGTGCTTGGGTTGAGGGACTATGGAATCAAGGCTGGTGCAAGGGGTGGAGACTGTGAAACGAGGCAAGAAGAGGAGGTTGTGGGCAATGTAGGGCCCTGGATTCTAAGCTGGCCCAGTACCATAGTGGAACAAATTGCAAACTGATTGTAATGTGGTTTTATGTGGCGCTGTAGGATCAACACTGAACTGTGAACCACAAGGTCAGCAGTTCAAACCCACTAGCTGCTCCTCAGAAATGCTATACAGGGTCACGATGAGTAGGAATCTACTTGATGGCACTTCATAACAACAATAACAACATTAACTATTTAACTTGGATTGTGTTGATCAGATAAATTCAGCACCAGAGAACAAATGCATTTTCAGGATTAGTCCTTCATTTCCGGTGGTCAACAAGTTGCCCTTTGTCCTCACTTTTCATGTGAATCACCTGAAAATATCAACAGAGCTCCAATGGTCTACGAGTTCCCCAAATCCCTGCTTGTATCAACTCAACCTGTACTGAACTGCGATTGTATCCTTGGGTGGCTGTTCCCAGAAGGTCTCACTGGCCCCATTGTAGGACAGAATTTTGTGCAATCTGAGAAAGGAAGCTTAAAAAAAAAAAAACCCAGGGAGGCCATACCACATCACTAATCCATACTCCCCAGCATGCTCCTACACATTGTAGAGCAAGCAACACACAGTGGGGGAGAGGGGAGTTTAGCATATGGGCGTGGACCAGACGGTTGTTAAAGGGGGCAAAGATAAAGGAGGCGCCAGGGAACCAGCAAGAAAATGGCCCCATTGATAACTGATACTTACAAATGGTGGCTACAAGCTCTATGGAACCTATCAAATATCCTTAGAGTTGGAAGAAATTGGGGGGAACAACCCCATAATCTTATTGTGTTTATTTTGAGAGATTCCAGTAAGCAGAGATCGCTTAATGGTGTGACATTCTTGCTTATCCTTCCCACCCCCCACACCCATTTATTGATTCAAACTATTCATAAACTGCCCTCTCTTGTGTCAGGAATGGTGCTGAGAAATAGGACCAAAAGTATACATAGCAATGCATGTCCTCAGTGTGGGAAATAGCTCTGGCGGTTGTCAGTAAGTTTGCAAATTTAAAGGAAAGCAAGAGTAGGCAGAGAAAGTGGAGAAGTGAATATTGTAATTGGCCTATAACACAGTCCTATTCAAAGTAACCCATAGCCTTCATTTGGGCTGACTTTTTTACCACTGGGACTTGGTTTTTCAGTGTGAGGGGAGGGAAGGGGTGTTATTAAAGTTAGAACAATAGTTGAGGCTGGTCCTATTCTCAGGGATCTATTCTCTGCTGGTCCCACCATGTTTCCCAGTAGGAAGCCCTGCACAGGGTCACTCTGAGTTGGAAATGACTCAATGGCATTTAAAAACAACAACAATCAAGTATGTAGAATTTTAAAACAATTGATGAATTATAGGGTACCTTTCTTCCAGCTCCCAGAAATCATTAAACTCACTTATCCCAGACAAGGGATATCTCTCCATCTGCCCTCCTATCTAGCCTTAATATTTTAGGGGCTTGATTTCAAACAGATTCATTCATAGACCAATTCCAGTGCCCAAGATTAGCAATGAACTTTAAATTAGGATAGGGAGGTGGGAGGTTGGGGGACAGAGCTTGGTAAGATTTGATCCATATTTGTCCAGGGGTCACTTTCAGCTTTGTGGTAGAAGCATGTCCCCAAAGCTAATATTCTGCACTTTTGAGCATTGTGAGAGTCAGCATAATCTTTGCCACAAGTATAACAAACATGGATTTTTAATCTTTCAGTGATATCCAAAAACTGTTATGTTTCAGAAAACTCATGCATTTCCATACAAATATACACATCTGGTATAATTCACAAATTTCCATATACACCTGATATAGTTCATAAATCTCCAAAATACCTAATTGATATGCTAGAAGAAAAGAACATTTAAAACAAATATTAAGTCTATTACTTGGAACCTAATGCTTCGATACTGAAATGAGGAAAATATTGTAGTAGCTTCTTGGGACACTAGACAAACCATAGTAAAATGTTATAATCTGATGGTCTGTATTTTCTTTTCTTTCAGTTTGAAATGTACACAGTTTGAAATGTACCATATCTACAGCATCATACTCTTTGAGTGGGAATAAGCCTTAGACAATTATAACAGTTAACAATGAATGAACTTTTTTTTTTTTTTTTTTATCTCTAAAGCTCTCTCTCAAGTAATTTGAAACTTTATTTCATTAAATCCTTCCAACAATTCAATGAATTATCCCCTTTTTTTACATGTGCGGAAGCCCTAACAGAGATTTAAAAACTTGTTCAAGGTCACTCCTCCATAAAATACTAATGGTAGGGGTTTAATGACCCACGAATTTCCGGCCCTAAAAGTCCACATTCTAAAGGTCAGATCTAAAGCTCGGAGCAATTCAGTAAACCATTTAGATTCTTAACATCTTGCCATTATTTTTGTGTGAGTTGATTCTAGCTCATAACTATCCGTGGGACAGAGTAGAACTGCCCACTAGGATTTCCTAGGCTGCCATCTTAACAGGCACAGCTTGCCAGCTCTTTGCCCCTTTGGAGTGACTGGTGGGTTCGAACTGCTGATCTTTTGGTTAGCAGCCAAGTGCTTAACCACTGCACCAGAAAAGCTCCTTCTTAATATCCAAGTATGGAACTCTGGTAGCGTAGTGGCTACTAATGGGGCTGTGAACCACACGGTCAGCTGTTGGAAACTACCAGCTGCTCCACAGGAGAAAGATGAGGCTTTCTGCTCCCGTAAAGATTTACAGCCTCGGAAACCCTGTACAGGTTTGCTATGAATCGGAACCGACTCCACGGCACACAGCCACCACCACCATGTTTGATAAATATGTCTCAGTAGCTGACAGAAACGTATCTTTTAAACTATTTTGCAGGGGGAGAATAAAAAAAGAATTTGACTATAAACTTTACACTCAACCACAATTCTGTGGTTAGGGAGTTACTATCTGCCTTTGTAGTTAATAAAATAAAAAAAATATATATTTTCCAAGCTATTTGCTGGTCATGAGTATTTTCGACTTTTCATTTGTTAGTTCAAATGGGGAAAAAGCGCCAGAGGACTTTAATATTTTCCCCAAAGCACAAAATAATGGTACAAAAAATGGAACTTATGTAGACATTTTAATCCATTTATTTACAAATTAAAAAACTTCCTTAAGAGACACAGATGTGTAAACCAAAAACAAAAAGGTGATATATCTGCTGCTTTATAGAAAGACTCAGATTTCAGATTAGAAGACTTCGTGAATGAAGTCCAGCTACTTGTATATCATGCCGAGTGTTATACATTCTTTTATTATACATTCCAGAACACGGTACAGCAACAGCAAAGTAATTGTGACTATAAACACCGGGCTACGAACCACAAGTCTGGCGGTTGAAACTCACCAGCTGCTTCTCCGAAACCCTATACAGGGTCACTATGAGTCAGAACTAACTCGATGGCACTTAACAAAAACAACAACAACAATACTAAATATCAATGCACAAGCCAAATAATACTTAAAAGCCCATTACTGAATACAGTAACAGCAGTACCTGCTTCATGGAGAATCACTGCATGGAACAGCAGTAGGCAGGGCAGCAGGGCTTGGGAGCCCATGACGAGAGGGCTTCCAGCTACTGGGAAACCCAGAAGGCCTGCTTTTATTTGTCTGTTCTCCAGGTGGCTGTCGTGGGGCGGGCCGGTGCAACTTGATTCTCTTCTCAGACTTCTATTGGCTGGCTTTCAGAACCAAGACAATTAATTTGCTTTAGCATGTTGTGTTGTTATTGTTTAGTGCTGTTAAGCTGGTCCCAACTCATGGTGACCCTGTGTAGGGTTTCCAAGGAGTGGCTGGTGGGTTTGAACTATCAACTTTGAATTTAGCAGCCCATGCTACTAGGGTCCCAGTTTATATGTAAATGGGTTTATCCTAAACAAAACATGTTTAAATTGGTCTCTGTCATCAGTGGATGACCACAGATAAGTTTTCACAGCTGTCTTAGACTCCTTTTGTTGTCGTTAGGTGACATCGAGTTGGTACCGACTCATAGTGATCTTATGCACAGCAGAACCAAACACTGCCCAATACCGGGCCAACCTCACTATCGTTGCCACGCTTGAGCCCACTGATGCTGCCACTTGGCCAATCCATCTCGCTGGGGGTCTTCCTTTTTTTCTCTGACCCACCACCCTACCAAACATGATGTCCTTCTTCAGAGACTGGTCCTTCCTGATAATATATCTGAAGTATGAGAGATGAAGTTTGGCCATCCTGGCCTCCAAGGAGCACTCTGGCTGCACTTCTTCCAAAACAGATCTGTTGGCTGTTGACAGACGTGTGGTGGCTTGGACTCCTTAGGGTGACTTAAAAAGAAAGGTCCCACTGAAATGGTGGTTTCCAAGGGGATCAATTAAATTCAAGACAGATAGGTCACCTCAGAAGCTGAGTTACTTCATCATCTCTGCTGTCTTCTGTGTTAAAGCTCTCTGGCTCCTAGGTCTAGAAGGTTCCCAGCACATGACTCCCATCTCTTCTTTTGACAGTGAGTTCCCCCATTCTTGCCTCTAGGATGGTCCATTCTGCCAAGCAGCCTTTGCTCATAGAGTCTCAGTGGATTCAGCTGACCTCTACCTGGACAGACAAAGTTCAGGCATACTCACCATGCCCACTGCAGTTGTGATGACTGGTTTGGGGGACCCCAAAGAGATAGCCTTGATAGATTTTACTCAAAGGACAATCACAGAAGTTTAGTTGTTGTTGTTGGTAAATGCCATCAAGTTGGTTCTGACTCATAGCAACCCTGTATAGGGTTTCCGAGGTGTGACTGGTGAGCTTGAACTGCCAACCTTGTGGTTCAAACCAACCTTGCAGTCCAGCTCATTAACCCACAGTGCCACACCAGGACTCCAGAGGCTTAGTAGGAAGTTTTTTTAAACATGAAAATCTGCATGGGTGAGAAAAAAGGCCAGGAAAGTTGTGCCAAGAATTTTTTTTTTTCAAACACAAATTTCATTGGGAAACCTTAGTCCATCCACCCTACAGCCCTGATTTTGTCTCTTCAGACTTCTTCTTGTCCCTCAGCCTCAAAGGATATAGGAAAAGAACATGATTTGAATCCCCCAAGGAGACCCAAACAGCCGTGTTGACGTGGTGTAAATAGAAGTGCGTAAAATTCTCCTGGGAAGGAATTCTTTGGGGAAGAGAGATGGAAACATCACCTTCAAAAGCATACAGACTTAGATGGTAGAGATCTAAGATATAGCAGCCTCACAGTTGGATATTTGTGTTTCATAAAAGGTTCTATGATTTTGTAGTGATACTGTTTGGTTTCTCCTGTTTGTGATATGGACAAGGGTGACCTAGGTATTAGATGTACTCTGTGGAACAGTGATGTTGGAATCAGAGAGGGGGAAGGCAAATGGAGGGCTGGTGCCTGCTTAGCTTATTAGGTGCGGCACCCACCACACTGAGACTTCACATTCCTGTGGTAAG